GCAGGAATGGTGTAGGTTGGAGAAATGACACAGTCTTTCATAGTTGTCTGATTTTATGAACACAGAAATCACTCCATTAATATCCTGGCCAAAGGTTCTGATGATCTCATTTCCCTGCTTATGTGAGATTTTTGTCATTCTCCATTGCAAGAGCAGGCAATTAATTTATTTGGTCCTTTGGGTTTTCAGAATTGACAAGCCGAAAGCCTTATCACTGTTGTTGCATACAGCAGATATCAGTCATCCAGCCAAGGCCTGGGATCTCCATCATCGCTGGACCATGTCTCTGCTAGAGGAGTTCTTCAGACAGGTAAAGCTGGGGAAGTTTCTGTGTGTTTCTGCAGCACAGAGGGAGTGTGTAGGACTGGGCAAGGAAGTAGGAAAATATGAACACACATCTCTTCCTTTTTCTCTGATTTATGCCAGAACCTGCTAAATGATAGAAGTTTTCTCATCTGGCACCAGTAGCACTGACTGTTATGCCTCTTGGGAAGTTAGTGTCGGAAACACTGCCTATAGATATAGAAGTTATCTACGTAGTAGAAATTCTACTTTGGGAAGCTGATCTGTGTTTCAAATTAGCGAAATATAGAATATGTGATGTTCTACTTAGCTGTAGAACTGTAGAAAACAGATTTAGGTAGCTATACTTTATAGAACTGTACTTACATTGTTGGGGTAGGATGTGAAAAATGCATTAGCCTTACTTTAGGTGAAGTGAACTGATCTAGTTATAGCTCACAGTGGACTGCCTGTTGACAGACCCGCAAATCTAGACAAATCATGAAGCTCTGTGTGATAGCTATAAGCTCCCCAAGTGACTAATTAAAAGCATTTAAAGAGCTGCCTTAAGAAAAAAAAAAAAAGACAGTAAAGAGTGTTGAGGATACTTTTCACCAATATGAATTACTAAACTAAGCAGAAAGCTAAGTGCTTAATTTCCCTCCAAAGTTCAGTAACTTCATGTTTTGTAGTAAATCTGAATGCAAAAAAAGAAAAATATATGACAATTTAAAAGGAATTCTAACGATTTTTTTAAATGGCATCTGTTTCCCACAATGGCATTGTGGGAGTCCCTTCTTAATAAGGACATTGCAAGAATTTGCTTTGAAAGAATACTTTAATTTGTTTTTCAAACCTAGAATGGGTTTACTAGGTGGAAGCAGGTAGATCATACCCGCAGCTGTCTCTGTGTTGCACATAGGAGGCTTATGCAAGTAGGATGATTTTTACATATATTTTAGGGAAAACTGTGCATATTTATGCTTTTCTAGCTCAAAATTATACTAGATTTGTTAAAATACACCACTGCTGAGTCCCCTAAAGACCGGTGACGGAATTAAGATTAGCTAGATATGAGACCACAAAAAGCCCAAGTTTTGATCTGTTTTACACATGTAATAAAAACCAAATTACTATTTTATGTTTTCATAAGAATAATTTCATTTCAGGCAACAAATCCTACTTTAGTTTTGAATGACAAATACCTCCACTTCTAGATAAAGCTTGATATAAAACTTGTGTTCTAGTTCCAAATTCAGATGCAGTATTAACTCCCTCTTCAGGGAAACCCTTAAGCTTACCATGAGGCATAGACTTGTGTTCACTGCTGTTATTTAGTACTAGATCAATAAATACATCCCTACCTGACAACAGGAGAACAATGTACCCTCTTCTCACAAGCTGAGAAGTACCACTAGCCAGAGAGGACCGTGGTGATAAGAAACTGGGCTGCCTTCAGATTAGGCATTTATTTCCTTATCCTCTTCACCCGCAGACCCTCTCCTGTCTTTTCTGTTATGTGCTCTGCAGAGACATAAAGCCTGACTTAACCTCTATCAGTACAGCTCCCCAGCCCTATTGGTTTCCAAGTATTTTGTGATGTGATGCAGGTCGTCCTAAACGAAGTAACCATGCTGTAGATGTGAATGAGTGTAATACTAGGTTTTTTGGGGTTTTGTTTGGTTTGGTTTGAGTTTTTTTACGTTCAGCAGCTATGGTGAGCATCTTTTAAAGAAAACATCTTGCATCAATTAATTTTACCTAGCCATGAGGGAGCTGCCCAAACAGCTTAGAAGAAATCAAGTACCTCTGTGGGCAGTCAGAAAGGCAGTTCCTTCCTAAAGAGAATTAGGTGCTGGGGTTTTTAAGAGGCATAAGGAGTAAGAGGAGAATGATGATTAGGTAAGAGCTGGCATTGAGAGATGGTTTTCCTGAGAGATGCAGCAGACACAGTAAAGGAACGTTACTTGGAAATATTTCTGTATTTGATTTCTGTTTTACCTGGATATTTGTATGTCAGACTCCTAAAATAAAGTAGAGTTGTTCTGCAATAGAAGAATGCTATTGCTTGTTGTTCTGCCCAGAACTGTAACAGGACTTGTGCCCCCATTTCATGTGTGTTATATTAACAAAAAGAAGAAGGATTCAGCTCTTCTTATGCCTTCAAAACTTTTTCTCTGGTCAGTCTGCTGGCTATTTTAGCTTCCATTTGACATTAGTCAGAACACTGGCAAGAAGTTCAGCACAGTTAAAGTGAACTGCTGATTTAAGGAATTGATTCTATAGTATATTTAACAGACTATTTAAATTTGAATGCTCAGTGAGGAGTATTGCAACTATGTCATCCTATATATCTTCTCAGCATAAAGCAATATGTTATAGAGCGACTGAACTAAGTTAAAGGGCTTTCTGAGACTATGCAACTTGAAAGACTGGAAAAAAATGGGGCTGATATTCTGCACCATCTTGGGATGTTAGAAAAGGACTTCGAGTTCTGAAGGCTAGAAAGCATGTTTGGACTTTTGTACTTAAGCACATACATAAAATGCTGACAGTGACAGAATCATAGAATACCAGGTTGGAAGGGACCTCAAGGATCACCTGGTCCAACCTTTCTTGGCAAAAGTACGGTCTAGACAAGATGGTCCAGCACTCTGTCCAGCTGAATCTTAAAGGTGTCCAATCTTGGGGAATGCACCACTTGCTTGGGGAGGTTATTCCAACTGCTGATTGTTCTCATTGTGAAAGATTTTCCTCTTGTATCCAGTCAGAATCTCCCCAGGAGTAACTTGTACCCATTACCCCTCATCTATTCTGTGTGACTCCTTGTAAAAAGGGAGTCTCCATCTTCTTTGTAGCCACACTTTAAATACTGGAACATGGTGATAAGCCTTCTTTTCTCAAGACTCAACAAATCCAGTTCTCTCAGCCTTTCCTCATATGACAGGCTTCCCAGTCCTCTGATCATCTCTGTGGCCTTTTTCTGGACCCTCTCTAGCCTGTCCACCTCTTTTTTTGCATAGCAGGGGCCAAAACTGACCACAGTATTCCAGGGGTGGCCTGACAAGCATTGAGTGGAGTGGGATAATGACTTCTTTATCTCTGCTGGTGATGCCCTTGTTGACGCAACCCAGCGTCCTGTTGGTTTTCTTTGCCGCAGCAGCACACCATTCACTCATCTTGAGCTTGTTGTTCACCAGGACCTCTAGGTCCCTTTCCACAGAGTTGCGCCCCAGCTGGGTAGATCACAGCCTGTGCTGCACTCCTGGTTTATGTTTTCCCAGGTGCAAGACCTTACACTTGTCCTTGTTGAACTTCATAAGGTTCTTGTTAGCCTGCTCTTCCAAGCCTGTTCTTGCAGGGTGGCTCTCCGTTCCAAAGTGTCCACTTCCCCACTCTGTTTGGTGTCATCGGCAAACTTCTTCAGGGTACACTTGATCCCATCATCCGGATCACTTACGAAGGTATTAAACAGCATTGGGCCCAATATCGATCCCTGGGAGACCCCACTTGTGACAGGTTGCCAGTTTGAAAAGGAACCGTTGACCAACCCCCTCTGGGTGCAGCCCCTCAGCCAGTTCCCCACCCACCGCACAGACCACTTGTCTAGACCTTAACGCATCAGTTTCTCTAGGAGGAGGATGTGGGAAACAGTATCGAAAGCCTTAGAGAAATCCAGGTAGGCAATGTCCACTGCTCGTCCCACATGAACCGAGCAGGTTACTGTGTTGTAGAAAAATGTCAGTGTTTCCTTTGGAAGAAAAAAAGTAATTTGCATCTGGCCAGCCATGACCTGTGAATTCCTTATCTGAAAGACTAAAAAAGAAGTGCAGTCCCTGAAAAATCAGTCCCAACACTGATGTTTTCTCTTGAAACATTTGCTCTGAGAACTGAGTTCTACCAGGTTCTCTGGACAACGGCAGTGAGAAGTGTTCTTGTGCTCAAGTAGGTTTTTAGGTGGTGCGTAGAAGTACCAAGCAGGCGGGGAAAGCTCTGAGGAAGGATGTACTGGAATCAAGATGCTTAATTGACCAACTTCTCTTTGGACTACAGTGTTTCCAGCCAGAGTCAAATTCTGCATGTTTTATGTTAAAAAAAACCCAAACAAACGGGGGAAAAAAAAACCAACAAAAAAACCCAAAATTGAAGTTTAGTTAAAGAAAGTAAAATGAGAGGCTTTTACAGTCATGACCTAAGACGTGAAACAGCAATCTGTCTCATCTTTTTCTAATTTCTTCTCAATTTTGTTTCTCCAGGGTGACAAAGAAGCAGAACTAGGGCTTCCCTTCTCTCCACTGTGTGATCGCAAGTCTACTATGGTTGCTCAGTCTCAAATAGGTATGTCCCTTTTGGTGTGTGCAAAGTAGCGTCTTAAAAGCAAAACTTACTCCTCCTTGTAGGGCTAAGATCATGGTGATCTCTCATCATTTGGAGCTACGTTAAAGAGAGGGAATAAGGCAGAATGGCTTTATTTTCCCTAGCTCAACAATTGAAAGCTGAGAAGCCATTAAATCTATGGTGGTGGTTCCATGTCATAACCAAGTTACCTGTGGTGTGTCTGCAGAGATGACTGCAGTGCCTAGTTATGACGCTACTCCATGACTCTGAACTGTGAAGATGAGGCACACATGACAACGTGTTGTGATATGAGTATCATTGGTGGATATGAAAATGTAATGTCAGTCCCTTTGATGACCTTGGCAAAACCTACTGTGTGTTTTTCCATTTATTCCTCCCACCCTTTCCCTCCCAGTGCTTCAAGCCAACCAATATTTTTCACTGAAGCCAAGCAGCTAGCAAACCTTTTTCTGCTCCACCCATTCAGAAACAGAGGGCTTTTTACAGACTCACCAACAGCACTTTCTCTACCTCTCCTCCAGTTATCGAGTTAAAAAGTAGGAGAAGGATGAGGCAACAAGTATTTGATGAGAAAACAGGAGGGGCGAAGTGAAGTAAAACTGTTCAGGGGGCTGGGAGCAAAAAGAGGTAGCAGAAAAGGTGGATTTGTGGGTGGATTTTTACGCCTAGGAAGCAAGGAAAGTAGACAGAAGAACATAATCTAACCTCAACTAGAGCATAGGGAGCCAAATGGAATAACAAAAGAAAGAGAACACGAACCCTGAAAATGAGGGAACTGAGACCAGAAGGAGAAAGAAAATGTATTAAAGGAAAACAAACAAAAAATTTGAAGTATGAAATTCCTCTCAAAGAACAAGACAAAGATATCCCTGAACCTAGGAAAGTTCAGATATCGTATCTGTGGCTAAGAGCCATTTCTGTTTAAAATTATTTCATTATTCCTGTTAGGCAAGCCATCCTCTGAGGGACCCCATCCCAGATTTTTCTGGCTTTGGAAGTTTAGACAGTCCAGCCAAGAATCTGAACTTGAAAAGCTGTATGCAAGCCTGGCCTGGTTGCCAGACTCGTAGCGTTTATTCCTCTGCAGTGGTAACCCAGAAGAGCGGGAATGTGTGTAGAGCCCAGCGCAGCTGTGTGTTCTGCCAGCAGCTCGGTGGAGAGAAGCAGCAGCAGACTTGAAGTGCTGCAGTCTCAGCTCAAACCAACGGTGAGGACTCCTGGGCACACTGTACCCACTGCTGGGCTGCGGGAGAAGATAAAGTCTCTCTCTGGCTAGTGTGGAGGGAAGCGCACGCAGAGACTTCTCTTTCACATCCCTTTTCTCAGTTTTCAGGTGTGTCCCTCACTCCTTACAGGGGAGTTGGGCTTCCCATGGGGTTCCTCTACGTAGGGTTGTGTGTGCTTGGAAACTGGTTTTCCTTGTCCTCCCTTTTTGTGCTCCTTTGCTTAGGAAGGTCAAGTGAGCCAAGAAACTTCTGCGCCAATGCCCCCTGTGTCAAGCCACTGCAAAATTAATGATGAATTGAACTATCACCAACACAATTCCATCTTATAAAAGAGGCACTTGTCAGTATGCAAAGGCAGCCTTATTTAGTCATATACTATTTATCCTTGTCGATTTGTGCAGTTTAGTAATACGTTGACATTAACAGGCTACTCTTTATAAATCTTGCCTTCTAACATTATAAAATTTTCATTTCTCAGTCTACTGCACATATTGGCAATGTCTTTCTGTAACTTCTCCTTTGTAAAATCAAAACCTCTTATATTTTCTGGCTATCTGCTGAGGTAAGGCTTTCAAAGTTGTAGGCTGGGTTCTCAGACAAATAATCTGTTCCCATTCATTTATTTACCTGATTAATAGCCTTAACAAATTGTTCCCTGGAATAGTAATTACTGCATTTCTTTGCAAAAGTAAGTTCTTACTGAATTCCAAATGGTGCTATTATCTGCAGCAAGCAGCCGTCAGTTCCCACAAATAAAAAAACCTCAGTCCTTTGTTAAACAAAATTATGCTCTTGGTTCTGTCAGGGACAGAGCCTTGAAATCCTGTTCTGGGGGCTCGACTTGTTTGTAGTTGCTGGTTTGCTGCTTTAAGGTCACTGCAGATGCAACAGCAGTGAGCAAGCATTTTTGTTAACAAAAGATTTTCACAAATGCAGACCGAAGGTTTTTGCAGTATGGACCTTTTCCATGGAAATGAAACAATCCAACAGCAGAAACTTCCTCAAAAGAAAGTAAGAGTGTGTCTCTCTCCTGTTGCTTCAGTTTGTGAAGAAATTGTTCAGAGTTTAAACTGATAGTTCAAAAAACCTGAACATCAAATAATGAACCTGGGTTTTAAAACCTATTAATGTTAATGCTAATGACCAATTTATCATCCTTTTTCTTCTTCAATAGAATGAGCGTGGTAAATATTTCCGTACCACAGTGAAGTGCAGAAATCAGGAGAGATTCATGTCCAGAAGTCAAGCTGCTTATCAGAGTAGGGGAGACAAACAAACTGCAAAGAAAACCAGGCCAAGACTTGTATTTCCCAACAAGATTATCAGGAGTTAAAGATTCTCCGTCTGTCTCAGACTGTAGGAAGCTTTTTTGACTGGAGATCAGCCTTTGTTGTCCTCTCTTGCAGCCGATAATTGTAGCAGCATCCTTTTATTTTTGTCCTTTGGCTGGCAAGAAAGAAAATTACAGCTGCCGAAAACATTGGATAAAGGCTGATGAGTGCATACTGATGAGTCTTTTTTCTTTTTTTTTTTTCTTTTTTTTTTTTTTTTTTTTTTGGTGGTGGGCTTTTTAGAGAAACTATCCTTTAGCCAGTGTTTGCTGTGGTGATGTTCTCAGGTGGAATGAATGAACAGTAGATGAACACTAGGCATGTGCCCGGAATCCACTCTCAGCACGTGGTGTTAATTGGTAAAATCATCTTAGTCACTGGGGTACAGAAATATTTACCACGCTCATTCTATTGAAGAAGAAAAAGGATGATAAAATGGTCATTAGCATTAATAGGTTTTAAAACCCAGGTTCATTATTTGATATTCAGGGGTTTTAATTAGCAAACTAAATCACCCATATTTAAATCACAGCATCTTTAGGTAAGAAGAAAGAGAACACGGGGGCGGGAGGGAGGCACTTACAAATATGGCATAAACTACATAATTATTAATAAATTCCTAAGTTTTGGAGTGGATTACGTTTCCCAACTTTATTATAATCCCCATTTTAAGGTAACATAGTTGAGTAATTTATTCATGTTATAGGGAATAGAGGAAAAAACACCACTTATCAAAGAAAAGTTCTCCTAGGTCTTTGAGTTTGTTTACCTGTGGTCCCTTGTGCCACCTGTGCCTGTCATTGTTGATGAGATGCAAGACTTCTCCCAGGGAAAACTTGTTTCTTAGACACCTACAGCTGGACCTTGTGCAAATGTTTATGTGCAAATGTTGAGTATCTCAGGAATTTGGCTTAAATATCACACTCCTCATATAAAACAAGTTCTGATGCATCTGTTTATGTTCTGATTTGCCACAGTTTCTTTTCAGTGTTTAAGTAGGTACCTTTTATTGCATGCTATATCCAGGCTCTTGGGTCAGGGATTAATGTATAACTCGGTTTTCCCTTTCTAGTATTTGCCTATCCCTCTTTCAAGGTATAATATTTTTACTCTGTGTGGTTGTCTGCGATCACTGAAGCAGTGACTCCACATAAATCTTCCTCTTGCCTGCTTGACTTTGCTTGTGTTTCTGCTCAGGTTTCATTGATTTCATCGTGGAACCCACTTTTACTGTGCTGACCGACATGACCGAGAAGATTGTGACTCCGCTTATCGATGAAGCTTCTCGCTCTGGCATGTCCGGGTTCAGGCGTTCCAGGTGAATAACCACCCGTCCTCTCCCTTCACTCTCCACGTGCTGCCATTGCGCCCAATTTCCCCGGTTTCCCCTCCGCACCATATGTCTTCCATGTGGCTTAAAGCCCCATATGCACGATGCCGACACCGCAGCTCACCTTGTGATGTGCCCTCGTTGCAGGGAAACTCCAGACCAGGGGAGAGCAAAGAGGGAGGCTGGCACAAACCTGAGCCATGCCTCCAAAGGCAGTGAGCGCAAATGGATATAGCCATGCAATCAGGTGAACTTTAGTGCTCTCTCAGTCAAAGAGAAGGTAGAGGGAGGCACTAATTTCTTCATGTCTAGAGGTATAAATGGGATTGAAATACGAAAGAGGCCTGGGAAGTATAAGCATACTTCAGTGACAGTATTTAGAGTTACGCAAATGTGTGAAGTACCACCAGAATTCACCTGGAGTTGAGGTGTATGGAGTCTTGGCCCATTCAACCTGCTCTGCTGTTGTAAAGAAACCACTCTTTTAGTGGTTTCATGGACAGGGCATGTCTTGGGATTCCAATGCCATGTGGCTAGTGCTCCCTAGAGTAGGGCTACCAAGTCAGCATTCCCTCTCTCAGGTGACTTCTTTGCTCTTGGGCTGTTACAAAAAGAGCAAGCACTGGGATCTTTCTACGTCACTTATTTTGCTGCCTTTTAAAAAATGTGCATAATGAAGTGTCCATCCTTGAAAGACAACTGTAGGGTCTGTAACTGAAATGAGTGCCTGACTTCAGCCTCAGCTGAGGTCACCAAGCCCTGGACAGAGGTTGACCTCCTGTCCTGTGCCTAATGGCTCCCATTGGTGAATTTTAGGAGGCTTCTCCTTCGATGTATTTGATTTCTAGAATGTCTGACTCTCCAATGAATATTTAGGGAGTGAAGATGCACAGCAACGATAATGGCAACAGTTTGAGTGATTCTGTTTCTTAGTGACTGTGGATACCAAAAACTAAGCAGGGAAAAACTGCCCTTTATTTCTAATACTGGCTCGGATTGTGCTGTTTGCCTTAACATCGGTTGCCCTGCGGTGGGAAGGAAGGAGGGGAGGATGAGGGATTCAAGCTTAGTTTTTGTTTCTCCTGGTTGACTCTTGTCTAGACTTACAGTCATTATTTCTTCTTAGCCCTATTTGAGTGCATGGGATACTGATTTCTTCTGTGTTTTGTGATCTTGTGTCCCAGTCTGAATAGCATTAGTCCCTCCGAAGTTAAAAGATCAAGTGTCAAGAGCACTGGGTCCGAAGGAAGTGCCTCACTCAACTGCTCCATACTCACTGTGGACTTCAAATGTTTTAAAGCCACCTGGACTGAGGTGGTGCAGCAGAACCGGGAGAAATGGAAAGCGCAAGCCACCAAAGGTAACAGCCAGGCTTCTTAGTGAAAGAATAAAAATTCTTTTGACTACTTCTTCAAGCTCCTCTTCAATCAAATTATTCTCCAAGTAAGCACTGTTAGTTTGAAAGAATCCGCTTTTCAAGGTCAACAACCTACGCTGAGTTCAGAAAGATAGGAATATTGTGACTCATCTGTGCCTTATAGTCTTCTTATGTGGTGTAAGTGTACGTAATGGAGAGGATGTGGACAATGGGAGGAAAAAAACCTAAAATTGTAAGGGAAGTCCCCTGAAGTCATGACTCGGACTCAGAGTGGGTGCAGAGATAGCTGGAACAGCATTTGTAGAGAGAGGTTATCAATTGTTCTCTGTTAACAGTGAAAGAGGTATGGATGATAGATCAGGGGAGAAGGACAGGATATTCTGAACTCA